GGCAGAAAGTGCCGAACCCCGATTTGTTGGACAGAGCTTAGCGAGCGTAAGCTCGAGGGACCAGATATTGTGCAGGAAACCGAGGAGAAGGTTCGTGTGATCAGAGACCGACTCCGCACTGCTTCGGACAGACAGAAATCTTATGCAGACTTAAAGAGACGAGACATAGAGTACAATGTTGGTGACATGGTATTCTTGATGGTTTCACCTTGGAAGAAGGTCCTACGGTTCGGGAAGAAAGGGAAGCTTAGCCCTAGATTCATTGGACCCTATCGCATTCTGGAGCGAATAGGACTTGTTGCTTACAGGTTAGAGTTGCCACCAGAGTTGAACAGGATTCACGACGTCTTTCATGTCTCCATGCTACGTAAATATCGTTCAGATCCGACTCATGTGTTGCCGACCAATGCTGTAATCCTCGATGAGAGTTTGTCTTACGAAGAAGAACCGGTTAAGATCTTGGCGCGCGAAACTAAAGTACTAAGAAATAAGACGGTACCTTTGGTAAAGGTACTATGGCGTAATCATGCGGTGGAAGAAGCAACCTGGGAGACCGAAGAATCTATGCGAACTCAGTACCCTCATCTCTTCGACGACCAATGACTTAGGTAATTTCGAGGACGAAATTCTTTTTAAGGGGGGGAGAAATGTAACGCCCCGAAATCTGGCCCAAAAGAATTAATTAAATGGTTAGAGCAATTGATTACGAATTGGGCCTAAAAAGGGGTTAAAATTATAATTTGGATTCTAAGCCCAACTTTTATGTCATCTCGTAGGAAATATTATTGTGATCGCGTCGGTTCAGACGGCTCGCGAATCGGAGTTATGGAGCTCATGTTATGACCATTTAATCAGGTATTTTGGGTCCGAAGCCCAATCCTTTTTGGAATGGGACCATTAAATAAACCTAAACCTAAATTTAAACCACTCGATCCTTATCTTCTTCATTCATCCTTCTTCTTCTTCTTCTTCTTCTTCTTCTTCTTCTTCTTCTTCTTCTTCTTCTTCTTCTTTCTTCTTCGTCTTCCCCAGCCATCATCGCCGCCGTGAGCCAGCCGCCGGTCGTCCTCCCTGCCGATCGACCTCCGCCTCTTCGCCGCACCAGCCAACTGCGGCCTTTCCTTCGCCGGTAGCCGCCGCTCCTCGCCGTCAAGCGCAGCGCCGCTTTTTCGCCTTCGCCGGAAGTCCGCCATCATCTTATGTGTATATTAACTTTATGGATTTGGTGTATTTTGATCTCAACATATAGATGACTTATATATGCATCACATATATATTTTGGGATGATTTCAACATATGGATTAATATATATGTTCATGTACATACATGATGAATGATTCGACAAGTCTAACGCAAGGGTACAGACCTGGAAATAAATGGCTGAAACCTTACGGACGAGCGGTAGTGAAAACAACATCGAAATTCACCAACTTTGTCATTCTCATCACAATTGGACAGCTT